TGTTCCCAAGTAGGAGGGGACTCCACTGAGAAATGTGGTCTTAGGGTCGCAGTGGGAGGCGGGGCGTGTGGCCCACCTGCCTCCGTCACTGACCCGCTCTGCTCCTCAGGCCCCGCGCTTCCAGACTGGGCCATCGTGCTGATCACCGTCACCGTGGTGGCAGCGATCGCCAGCGCACTGTACGGTGTCAAGAAGGTGAGTGACTGTGGTCCGAATGCAGCGGGACTGGACCTGGTGCCCAGGACCTGACAAGAGCAAGGGCTTTGGGGAGAAGGGTGACAGCGGCCACATGCAGGGAGGAGTCAGGAGGGAGGACGGAGGAGGGAGGAGGGAGGAGCAAGGAGGAGGGCAGAGCAAGGAGAAAAGAAAGCCCGGCTGGTGGCTGGGAGGGAACACTGGCCAGGCAGGCAGGGCTGGGGGCCACTGACAGGAGGCTGGGGAGTGGTAGAGGCTGACCAGCTCACAAAGGCACTGAACTCGGCTCTTGGCCGTGAAGAATCAGCTGTGTGAACCAGTTTGACTCCTGCTCTGACATTTTAGCTGGGTGACCTTGCGCAGGTTACTTACCCCTCTGCTCCAGGCTCACATCACTACTGGGGAATACTTAAGGGCTACAACAAAGGGCTGTGCAGGATGGCATGGCTCACGCACAGAAAGCTCTAGGTGCTGGGCACAAGTGGCTCCATGGGAGCCTGCTTCTTAGCATTCCTATTGTTGCTGGAAGGGGAGCCCTGAGGGCCAGGGCTGTGGAGGGAGGCAGCAGTCACGCTCCTGGGCCCTCGGCTAACCCACCCTATCGCCTCCCTCACAGGCCTGCCAGTTCCGGAAAGAGATGAGTGTGGGGTGTGGCTGTGGCTCTGTGACCCCGTATGGCTGCCACCACGAGGTCACCGGCCAGCGCTTCTCGGTCAAGTGAAGGGAGGGGGCTGGGGTAGCAAGCAGCCCTCCCCTGGGCCTTCCTTCTTCCTCTCCGAGACAGGCCCACAGAGAAAACACACCAGGGCCAGTGAACAAACAGATGAGACAGAAACAGCCTCCCGGAGGCTGACCACAGGTTGGCGGTTTCCAGTGGGGAGGGTCCCCGGGAAGGGGCCGCTCTCGGGTGGGGGATGGAAACGACTTCCGGTGGGCGTGGTGCAGCATTAGCGGAAGTGGAATTGTGATGCTGTACAACTGAAACTCATATAATGTCATAAACCTATGTGTTCTCCATAAAAAGACGTTGGGGGGAATTGAGAAAATGTTTTTAAACAGTATCTCGCTTTCATGCCCGCTAAGTGGGCCTGTTCCTGCGGGCGGGCTCCCAGGTCAATAGAGGTCTTAAGATAAATTGTGTTGTTGATTTCTGGAGTTAATTTTAGAAGCGAGTAATACGGTCTCGCTGAGTCATTGCGCACCTTTCTCCCCAGCCCACCCTCTCCCCCAACTGCCAGAGCTGCTGCAGCTGAGGGCACCTCACTTGGGTCCCCAAGACACACGAGGGGGTTCCCTTCATATCTCCTTCCATATGGAGCCCCTGGGCCTGGCTCCTGGCTGTCCCAAGCCCCCGATCCTCATCTCTGGGCAGTGAGGATCCCGCCTGCGGTGACCCCTGGACACATTTCTGCTGAGGGAAGCGGCGTCCCTCCAGCGGCCCCAGCCTCTGTGCCTTTGCCCGAGTACGTGGGCTTTGCCGCCAGGCCGGCACCAGCCACGTCCGGCCTCTGCCGCTGACCAGCTGAGTGGCCTTCGGCAGGTCGGAGGGTGTTTCACCTGTAAAATGGGCTGACGCTGCTGACCTCAGAGCTCAGTGCCTAACCTGGTGCACGGAGCGCTCAGGCCGGCAGGGCTCTCTTGGGCCAGCGCCTCAGCCTGTAGCTCAGACACAGCCCCTCCATCCTGGCTCCTCTGCCCCAGTGCCTGGGTCCTCGGGGAGACTGTGGTTAAAAGGAGGGGATGTTTATTTACACAACGAGACCCCCGGGCACTGCTGACGTGGGGACTGGAGAGTTCTTTGGTGTGGAGATCGGGGCCCATTATGGGATGTTTAGCAGCATCTGACTGCCCACTCGCGGCAGGCAGCAGCCCCTGCAGGCATGACAAGGCTGCCTAATGTCTGGGGTGGGTGGGGCAAGCTGCCCTCCTGGGCCCCTGGGGAGGGCTGCTGCAGGGCAGTGGAGCCCAGGGCCCTGTGTCTGCCCCAGGGCCCCCTCCTGCTGCGGGCATGGCCCGTTCTGAGGAGTCAGTCTTGGCCGGATGCCATGGAGCCTCATTAATCTCCCATTAATCACATTAATGAGCAATTGGCCTGCTCTCCTCTTCCCACCCATTCCAGCCCTGCCCAGGGCTTAGGGACTAGTCACGCCACGTAATGGGAGGAATTCACATGGTCGACCCTCAGGCCCCGTGAGCCGTGCTGCAGGCCCTGCCTCCTGCCCTCTCGGGCCTGGTCCTCTCGGCTCTGTGTGCCCGTGCTCCTTCCCAACAAGGGCAGTGCCCAGCCCGGCTTCGGCTCCGTTCCGCCCACTGAACACTTACTGATTGTCTGCTGTGAGCCAGGCACCGTGCCTGGCACTGGGCAAGCTGGTGCTGCTTTCATGAGAGGAGACCCACAGGGAGCGCAGGAAGCGGGCGATGGGAGCGGGGGCTGAGATCCCGGACCCCGCTGCACCTCTCCTCCAGCCCCACCCCAGCCCTGGGCCCTGCCACTTGGGGGCCAGTGGATGAGTTTGGATAGTCTCTGAGCTAACGCTTCAGGCACGGGACCAGGAGGGAGAGAAGGGGGACACTGGGGGGCCCTCGCCTGAGGGTCTGCGTTTCTGTGGGGTGGATGAGGTGGGAGAGGGGCCTCTGGGTGGCCTGGCCCTGTCCTGGTCCCAGTCTGTGTCTGCTCTTCCCTGTCGCTGCCCTGCTGTCTCCACATGCTGTCCTCTCAGGGCACCTGCAGGCACCTTGCCTCACACTGGCCTGTGCGGGGCGCCCCGCCTTTGCTCTTTTCCCTGACTGCTCAGGCAGCTCCACCCAGGCCGAGAGTGGCCCTGTGTGAGCAAGGGGCGTGGGGAGCTGGGCTGGCGCCCACCGGGACAGAGGCAAAGGTGGCGAAGAACCAGAATTTGAATCTCCTCTGAACAGGGCACCTGGCTCCCCGCCCGGTCCCAGCCAGAACCCAGTCCTGGACCCTGTCACCTGCTCCCCCTCCCCAGACCCCTGCAGGGGGTGAGGCCAGCCATCTCCCTCCCAGTTCCTTTTCCTTCCCCAGATCTAGGCCTGGGGCAGGCACCCAGGCTCCTGGCTCCCTCACCAGCAGCTGCGGTCTCCTTATCAGGCAGCCCTGTGGGGTGGGGCGTCTCCGTTTGTTTAAGGTTTAGGCCTGAGGGGCCCCTGCCCCCATGACGTCAAACCTGGCCCCGTATAAGGTGAGGGGTTCCCAGCCCTCGGCCTCAAGCAGCCCACCCTCTGCGACATGGCCCGCCCGGCCCACTGTATCCGCTCAGGCTTCGGCCTCTGCTCCGGCTTTGGCCTCGGCTGCTGCCTCCTCTTCCTCCTCGCTTCTCAGGAGGCAGGTAAGACGCCCTCAGAGGCACAGGCGCTGTGGTCACACAGGGCAGAGGCGGAGACGGGCTGCTTGTGTTTTGGGGCTGAATGAGCAATCAGAGAAACCAACAGCCGGTGAACGTGCGGTGGGAGGGCTGGGCCACGGCCCCATCGTCCAGGCTGCGCGCCTTGGCGGCCGAGGGCGCACTGGCCATGAACCCACCGGCCCTCTGCTCCCCGGAGGGCTTTCTGCCAGTCTGTGGGCTGCGGGCACCCGGCCTGCCCCATGCTGTGCAAGGAGCTCACGGGCCCCGGGAGCTTCATCTCCCGTCATCCCCCCCAAACCCAGAGGTGGTTGATGGCAGCCCGTTGCACAGTGAGGAGAGTGAGACTCAGAGGGCAGGGGCTGCTGCACTGCCCGCCACCTGGGCACAGGCTGCACTTGTCCCGAGAGTCCTGTTCTGTGCTGACCTGGTTCCGCCCGGACCCGGGCGCATGTGCTCAGCCCCACATCCATGGGGGAGCCGCTGCCTGGCCGTGTGCCATGGAGCCCTCACGGCATCGGCAGGGGCTGGGCTTTGTCCCACGTTAGCGCTGGGAACCACCCAAGGCTCCCATCAGGACAGGGGCCTGGACGAGCCTAGCAGACCCTGTGAGACAGAGCGGCCACCCCCCATTTCACTCAGGTGGGAAAAGCTCTGTGACTGAACCCAGGGAGGGGATGCCAGACACGGGGCGGCTGGACGGGGCGGTCCCTGGGGCCTCCACAGGCCGATCTGCCATAATAACTGAGACTTCCCTTAGCAGAAGGGGTGGTCCCGCTGCTGTTCCCCAGGGCGGGGAAGCTGAGTCCGGCTGCCCGGCTGCTGGGGCAGGATCTGGGCAGAGCAGGCAGCAACTACTTCCCAGTGTGACCCAGGTGATACAAGGCTGGGGCCGGGAGGCCAGGGCGGGAGCGGGGACAGGGTCCTCTGCCAGGTCTCGGCAGTGCCTTCGCCTGTGTCCTGGCTTGATGGCTTCCTCCTGCTCCGAGGGTCAGGGACAGAGCCACTGTCAGCCCCGATCTCCGTGTCCCTGTCCCTTTCCCGTGGGTCTGCCGCCTGCTCTGCTCCCCCTCCTGCTGTGCCTGGAGGGGCAGAAGAGGACGAATCAGGAATCAACTCCAGCTCAGTCACTTCTGAGGGACATTTACTCTGGGGCACAGGACAGGCACAGGGCAGACTCACAATCCGAATTCCAAAGTGGGGCACTCAGTGGGTGGTGGGCCTGGCAATGGCTGGCGGTGGGCAAGGCAAGGGCGGCTGGACCTGCAGACAGAACGAGGGTGGTGAGCAGCGGGGCTCGAGGCCCGGCCGGCTGAAATGCATGTGAGCAATGAGGTCCAGCAGAGAGGCAGGGAGGGGTGGCGGCTGGAGCCACTTATCCACGGGACCAGTCACTGCCCACACAGGTAGCTGGACCCCAGGGCCCCAGAGCCTGCGGGGTGCAGCCACAGACCTTCCATGCGAGTGGAGAGGCGCCACCTCTGAGGGGAGACTAGCGGGGCTGGTGTCCTGGGGTCCTGGGAGACTCCAACAGGAAATGCTATTTGATTTCATTTCTACGACAAAAACAATATGTGCTGTCTAGCAACCAAGAAATAGGAAAAGTTAGAAAGAACATCTCTCCTAATACTTTCTAGTCACAGGAAATACACCAGGCAACCATTAGGGTGCACTTCCCTTCAGTGCTGTGTTAGTGTGTCTGCTTTAGGTCACGTAGTGGGGCCATATAGACACCTGAACACGCACTCCCCCGCATGACTGCAAACGGAGGGAGCGCAGGACAGAAAGAAGCAGCAGAACTGCTGCCTTGGGTGTGCGCTATCCGGCACCGCCCACCTTTCTGCCAAACACGTGAACAGCCCTGGCTGGTGTGGCTCAGTGGATAGAGCGTCGGTCTGCAGACTGAAGGGTCCCAAGTTCGATTCCGGCCAAGGGCACATGCCTGGGTTGTGAGCTCAATTCCCAGTGTGGGATGTGCAGGAGGCAGCCGATCAATGATTCTCTCTCATTGATGTTTCTAGCTCTCTCTTTCTCTCTCTTCCTCTCTGATCAATAAAAATATTAAAAAGAAAAGCCACATGAACGGAGCAGCCGTCTCCGGCCTCTGTGCTGTCAGTGAACCGAACACCACACCCTGAGCGCTTCCAGGGAAGCAGCAGCCCAGTGGTGGGGGAGGAGATGGTCAGCCTGTCCGGGGCTCGGTCTGATTTGCCCCGTGGTGGGCCCAGGGCAAAGGAGCCCCGGGGCTTCCACCCGCTGTAAATGGAGCCGCTGTTTGAGGGCCCAAGTGTCGGCCGCTGGTTCCACTGCTGTGGGACACGGACCGCGTCCACGATGTGGCTGTCCGAGGCCAGTCCCGCACTGCGGTGCCGCGGCTCCGTGGCAGCGGTGGCCCTCCAGCCGCTGGGCCCACGATGTTTGCTTTTCCCTCGCTGTGCATAGGAAAGGGTTCTGACAATGCTCTGGAGAGCCATCAGTCGCAGAATAGCCTCTCGTTCATCCATCCAACAAGTATTTATGAAGGGATCTGGGGCTCAGCATTGCTCTAGGCTGGGCACGCCGGCGAGCAAACACACAAAGCGCCCGCCACTGTGGGAATTACACGGCACGTCGTCTGTTAGGAAGTGGTGAAAGCCTCTTGATCAAACCCGGGCGGCCCAGCACCGGCTCAGAGGCGCACAGAGCAGTGGGTCCAGAGAGACCCAGGGTGAAGGGCTGAGGGCTCGGCCCCGCGCCAGGCGGGAAACAGTGTGAGACTGTTTCAAAGACTGAAATTCAGATTCAACAAACTGTAAAGAGCTGCTGCCCTGCACGCGCCCTCGTCCTCACACGGAGCTGCAGCTGCAGCAGCGGCTTTTGGTGCAGGCAGCTGGGGACACGGCGCTTCAGAGCATCCGGCCACCTGAGCAAGGACACCAAGCAGGCGCCAGCCGGGACCGAGCCTGGGCTCCGGCGTGGGGGGTGGCGGTGGGGCTGCCGCGCCGTGCGGCGCCCACTTGTTCACCCACTGCTCGGGCATTTGTCCACCTCATCTCCTTTGGAAGCACCTGGGGTGTAGGGAGCAGCCTGACTGCCAATTAGTTAATCTCTTTGAAGCTCCTTCCTTCGCTGCCAGACCACAAGGTCACGGCCTGCCTCACGGGGTTGAGGTGAAGATGAAATAAGCAAATAGAACAGCATCCTTCAGGTTCCCACTGAGGGCTGCACTCTCCTGCCCCCCGGGACTAGGCTGACCTACAGGTGCGAGCGTGGCCTGGGCACCAGGAGCCCGGAATGGATTCCATTCTGGCTCAACCTCTTACTTGCTGAGGGTTCTTGGGGAGATTACTTAACCTCCTTGTTTGCTCATATATAAAAAGGGGAGAGTAACAAAGGGGTGTTGTGAAAAGTAAATGAGTTAGTACATGGACTCATGTGTAGGGCCTGCCTATTTCACAGTTGATGGTCAAGTAAAGGTCGGTGCCCAGCCAGGGGGCTCAGTTGGTTGTGTGTCATCCCGGACACCAAAAGCTTGTGGGTCTGATTCCTAGGTGGGTTTGCTCTCAAGTTGGGGTGCGTATGGGAGGCAGCAGATCAATGTCTGTCTGTCTGTCTGTCTGTCTCTCTCCTTGGGTGAGGATTTAAAAAAAGAAAGATTGGCCATTGCTGTTGTCGGGGATCGTGTGAAAGTCACCATTTCTCCACGACATTCAAGTTTCTTGGCTGTGAATAGGGAAGTAGACAGCTCCTAAGGTGCCTTGAGGGGAGCTGGGAAATCGGAGGAGAATCCAGACAGAGAATGTCTGTGAGGCAAGCGCGGAGGCCTGGCCCCGAGAAGGTGTCCAGCGAACGAGGGGCCATGGCAGCCGAGGGAGTGGGAGAAGGGACCGGCACAGTGAGGGGATGGCCTGACTGTCCAGCCCTCCTCTCGCGCCCCAGCCTCCACTCCCTTCAGGGCCGTGGGCTTCTCTACCTCCCCCTTCACCTCCCACCCACATTTCTTTCAAGGACTGAGTTCCCCATCCCCCAACTGTCCTTGTCAGCGGGGAGCTGGGTGGACGGTGGCTTCCCCTGACTGGGAATGGGTCCAGGTTCTGGTTGCCGCCTTGAGCTAACAGAGCTGGAAATCTCGGTTATGTAACAACACTATCTCTCATTCCTTGGCGATCTCCTGACTCTCACTCAGAGACATCTCCTCTGTCCCCACGGTTGCTTTTCATGGAATTAAGGCGCATATCTGTTCATTGATAGGGTGTTTTCCCTCACACCCTGTCCTTAAACATAGTCAGCTTCTCCCAGAATCCAGCCGCCTCTCTCACTCCTCTCAGGACCCCGAGCAGATATCTTTTCCTTAAAGAGTGCTACCTTCATCTTCCCAGAGGCTTCCACTATGAGCTTCTAAGAGGAGCCTCCAGTGAAGGAACTAGAGATTGAGCCATCTCTTCTACTTCCCTTCGCCCAGACCAAACTCTGTCATCAAGATGAAAGTTCCCTCCATTCTCACTCATCACCTGTGCTTACTTACTACTACTTGTGGGAATTTCTGCCACAGTCTGACCTCAGCCTGTCATGCTGTTACATTTGGGATGGACCTGGAATGTTATGGAAAAACAAAGATTCTGATATTTATTACCTTTCTTCTCAGCTCGGCCATGGAAAGGGAACTCCATTCCATAAGTACCATATAAACCCTCAAGGAGCATGTGTGCAGCAAAATGCCCATCAGTATCTGTTCTCAAATTTATGGTTTGGTAGGCAGGGCATGGGAGAGATGGATAGGCACACTCAACTAGCGTGGCAAGGTGAATAATTCACAAAAAGTTTTAGCACTGAAGTGAAGCTAGAACTTATCTGCTTGAAAGGATCAGGGAAAATGCTATAAAGCAAGAAAGATCTAAACTTCAGAATTGGGGAGTAGAGGTGGAGAAGGGAGGAGGTAACATTCTTGCTGAAGGCACAGCCTGAAAACAGGTTCAGAGACTGGAGGTGAGGATGGGGATTAGATATCATAGTTTTCTGAGGTGACTGGGTAGGGAGATATATCTGGGGTAATAAACGGACCCCTAGAGACAGAGGTGGGCAGCAAAACAAGGAAGAACATGGAGGAAGTTTCTTACTTGACTCTCTCCCTTTACAGGTGCTACCACACTTCAAGAACTTCAGAATACTGGTGAATCCCCAACATCTGACCATTTATCCCCTCCTACTCCAAACCTTGTTTATAGTATTCCCTCTCACCACACTGCTCTTCATTTAGGACATAGTAGTCCAGACCACCCTAAATCTACAGAAACCCATCAGCCCAAACGCCATTGCAATGCCACACACAATTTCAGGCCAATTCACAAACCAATAGATAACTCCAAAAACTCTACAAAGCATCACGGAGTTCGTCCCACTTCTGAACAAAACCCTAGCAATCAAGGAAAAGACCCAGTTGTCCGGAATGGACGCTCTGCTAAATCTGATATCACACATAAAAAATTGTCTAATGCAAACTATCCAACCCCAAAGCCCAAGAGCAAAGCAACATGTCCTACCTCCAAAGCCAGCACAGCAATAGGAACAAGAAGTCACCCCCAAACTGCACCTTTGGAAAATACCATCAGTACCTTAGAGAGTAAAAGTACCATAACTCTTCCCCACCATTCAGTCAATTCAGAGATCGACAAAAGAGCCACATCTTCCTCAGGAAAAAGCACAACATATAAGGCATCATTTAAGGCAACAGGTACCACAGAAGGAAAAGAAAGCGTTGAGGATCATACAGTAGCTAATTACACAACGATAGCTGCCTCAGAAAAGACTCTGATAAAGACTACAAAACAAGCAAAAGACACAATTTCAACCCATGTGAAGACTACAAGAGCCCTACTGATGCCTACAGACCACAGACAACACAGCACATTGGCCCATGGAAAGATCACAAGAGCCTCACCAATACCTACAAAACATAAACAACACAGCATATCGGCCCATGTTCAACACAGCACATCAGCTCATGAGCTGATCACAAGAGCCCCAGAAATGCCTACAGACCATGATCAACACAGCACATTGGCCCATGAGAAGATCACATGAGCCCCCGCAACGCCTACAGACCATGATCAACACAGCACATTGGCCCATGAGAAGATCACATGAGCCCCCGCAACGCCTACAGACCATGATCAACACAGCACATTGGCCCATGAGAAGATCACATGAGCCCCCGCAACGCCTACAGACCATGATCAACACAGCACATTGGCCCATGAGAAGATCACATGAGCCCCCGCAACGCCTACAGACCATGATCAACACAGCACATTGGCCCATGAGAAGATCACATGAGCCCCCGCAACGCCTACAGACCATGATCAACACAGCACATTGGCCCATGAGAAGATCACATGAGCCCCCGCAACGCCTACAGACCATGATCAACACAGCACATTGGCCCATGAGAAGATCACATGAGCCCCCGCAACGCCTACAGACCATGATCAACACAGCACATTGGCCCATGAGAAGATCACATGAGCCCCCGCAACGCCTACAGACCATGATCAACACAGCACATTGGCCCATGAGAAGATCACATGAGCCCCCGCAACGCCTACAGACCATGATCAACACAGCACATTGGCCCATGAGAAGATCACATGAGCCCCCGCAACGCCTACAGACCATGATCAACACAGCACATTGGCCCATGAGAAGATCACATGAGCCCCCGCAACGCCTACAGACCATGATCAACACAGCACATTGGCCCATGAGAAGATCACATGAGCCCCCGCAACGCCTACAGACCATGATCAACACAGCACATTGGCCCATGAGAAGATCACAAGAGCCCCCACAATGCCTACGGACCATGATCAACACAGCACATTGGATCATGTTCAACACAGCACCTTGGCCTATGATCAACACAGCACCTTCGCCCATGAGAAGATCACAAGAGCCCCAGAAATGCCTACAGACCATGATCAACACAGCACATTGGATCATGTTCAACAGAGCACCTTGGCCTATGATCAACACAGCACCTTGGCCCATGAGAAGATCACAAGAGCCCCAGAAATGCCTACACACCATGAACAACACAGCACATTGGCCCATGTTCAACACAGCACCTTGGCCTATGATCAACACAGCACATCAGCTCATGAGCCAATCACAAGAGCCCCTGCAACACCTACAGACCATGATCAACACAGCACATTGGCCCATGTTCAACAGAGCACCTTGGCCTATGATCAACACAGCACATCAGCTCATGAGAAGATCACAAGAGCCCCCGCAACACCTACAGACCACAGGCAACACAGCACATCGGATCATGTTCAACACAGCACATTGGCCCATGAGAAGATCACAAGAGCCTCAGCAATGCCTACAGACCATGATCAACACAGCACATCAGCCCATGTTCAACACAGCATATCGAACCTTGTTGAACAGAGCACATTGGCCCCTGGGAAGATCACAAGAGCCCCAGCAATGCCTACAGACCATGGGCAACACAGTACATCAGCCACAGAGCCAACCACAGGAGCCTCAGGGCAGGCTGTAGTGCACACAAAGAAGACCACATCTACCAAAGGGAGGGCCACACCAATCCCAGCAGAGAGTACAGAAAACCCAGGAAGAACCACAGCAGCCACAGAGACTACAAGGCCTCCAGGCAAGGTCACAGGCGACAGATCTATCAGTTCTTCCACTCCTGGCCCAAATAAAGCCAGTCAGGTGCCCACTGGCTCGTCTACCCTGCCCACTTCCAGCATGAAACTGAGTTCTATCATGTCAGAAGCCCCAGTCAACCAGAGCCACGCATACCAGAACAAAGATGGTGCCCAGGGCAGTCTCCATGCGGGAGAGATGGGGGACAGTGCTTCATTCCCCGCATGGGCCATAGTTATTGTGGTCCTGGTGGCTGTGATTCTCCTCTTGGTGTTCCTTGGCCTGATCTTCCTGGTAAGGAACAGGGATGCTCCAGTGGGATGGACCCATGGGCGAGGGAACTGAGGAGAGGTTATGGATCAGAACTAGAGGGGGCAACGAATCTAGCAGAAGAATCATGGTGAGGGAGGATGGCAATAGAGGGGCAGAGGTGGTGAAAATTATGAGGAAAGAAAATAGATGCATGGGACACAAAATATAGAAATGGGGGGAAGGCGGTGGATAAGCAAAAAGGGTCCAGAGGAGGCAAAATTTGATAGAACAAGGGAAATAGGACAGAAGAAGGATTAGAGAAGAGATGTGGGACTCTATTGGATCAGAGGCTGCAATAAGGATCAAGTTTGGATGGAATCTTGGAAAAGAAACAAGCAGAAGGTCAGGATCAGGGAACAGAAAAGGGCTGAGCAGGGTGTTGAGGAAGCAAATGGCATGGCAGGTGATACTCACTCCTCCTCTCTCCCCCAATCCCAGGTCTCCTACATGACTCGAACACGGGGTGCACTGGTCCACAGCCATGAGGACAATGACCCGGAGGAGGATGGGGGCCCCAATTCTTACCCCGTCTACCTGATGGAGCAGCAGACGCTTGGTGTGGGCCAGATCCCGTCCCCGCGATGATCTTCTAGAAAGCGCCACCCCCAGTTCTTCCGTGCCCTCCCCCTCCTGGAGCTGGAACTGGACTCACAGTTCCTACTTCCCGGACACCAGAAGGGCAAAGTCCTGACAGTTAACAGCATCAACCCTTTATCTGCTGTATTCTTATTGAGAATGGTCAAGGGAGTGGGTGATGAGCAAGAAGGATGTGAGTTTGGGAGACAGAAAAGAAAGAACCAGTAATAGCAGCAAGTGTTCTCTGTGGAAGATGATGGTCTGAGAATGAAAGTGTTTGATGGACGCTTGGCGTGGGAGCCAACACAGGGCCTTGGGTGCTGGGAGGGCCAGGGCAGGTGAGGAAGTTTGGGAGCCTCAGAGGGCAATGCCCAGATCTGTCCTGTCAGATGGGAGGGGAGGCTGAGACAGCCCTGGTTTCAGGACCAATGTATATCCTTTCCACTTACTGTCACTTAGAGTGTGAACAGGCTTGTCTCTGTTCCCAGGGTCTTACCCTTTCCTTTTCTTTTTTAAAACGGGTCTAAGAGGAAAGGATGGTTTATTTTCTTCTCTACTCTCTCCATTCCCAGCAGAAATAAAAATTACAAAAAGATCATAAACATCTCTCACTGAGATGGTTCTTCCCTCTTCCTCCCAACCCCCTCAGTTTTTCTAAGTGTCTGTGTGGGCACCTGCAGGCCTGGCTTGCTGGGCTGTGGTGGGCACAGGGATTGACTTGGGCCTGCACTCTCATCCACTGACACCCACCCCAGACCTTCCTTGATGGTGTTCTCCACCCAGCATTCATTTTCCTGTCTCTTCCACTGAAAGCCACTCACTCATCTTCTCTACTGCCCCCCACTTCACCCCAGATTCTGACCACCCTCCCCCATGAGTATTTCATCTGTATGTTTTCTGGATTTTTTCTCCAATTTGTTAAAGCTCTTTCACCTATTACTGATTGAGCAGAGACGGGAAGGGAGAGTAGACAGATGACAGATACTGTCCTTGTAGCTCTGGTCTTTTCATAATAAAGTGTAAAATATTTACACAGTAAGGATATCATACCTATTGGACCATCAGTTGGGAGAAAGTCCTGACTGGTGTGCGTGGCTCTGGCTGTGACCTTGCAGATGACCTTGAGCAGGACTGGCCAGGGGGCAGGACTAAAGGTCTTTGGAGGCTGCATTTCTATTGCTCCTGAAATGCCTGGCTCCTGGTTAGGCAGGAGCGGCCGGAGCTCACCCTGAGCTCAGTTACAAGGTGACAAGATGAGGAGAAAGCTAGTTATTTAATAAGCAGGTATTTCTGAGATTCATTATACATTCTGTTGAGGATTATAAAGAACTTTGAGACAGAATTCCCACCTGAGACACACATACAGGAAACTTCAAATTAAATAATTCAATAAGAGTGTAAATAACAAGGCAGCACCACAGAGGAGAAACAAGACTGATGAATGAAACCCATTTGTGGGCACCTGCCCTGTCCCACATCATGCCAGCCCTGCCCCAAACCACCCCGTGCCCAACTGTCAGTCCCAACAGGACGGCCACCCCCCTCCCTGCGGCGCCGTGGCCTCTCACCGCGTGTCTTTGCTGACCCGAAGGCACCCTGCTGGCCATGGGCCCCCCAACCTCAGCTCCAGCACAAGCAAACTGCAGGGCGAGGGCTGCTGTTCGCGGCCTGGGGCATCCCCATCGTGGGTGGGACGCGCAGCCCGTCCTGGTCAGACATCCTCAGCTGGACACTCCTGCCTCCCACCCAGCAGGAGGCACCAAGCCCGAGGGACCCGGATTACGTCCCTGCAGAGCCCGAGGCAGAGGGGCTGCAGCGGGCGGGCGCCTGAGAAAAAGGAGCAGCGCGTCCCACCGTTAGCCGCTGTGCACACTCCCCCAACCCCAGCCTCTCTCCCAGCTACTTTAAAAACCAACACAAAATGAACAAAACCACCGCGGCCCCTGCCAAGGCACCAACAGGGAGCACTGGGGTCGAAGGGTGTGCGATGGGCGGTGGCGGTGGAGGGGAGCGTCATTCCGAGGTTCTTCCTTCCGGCCTCCCCCTCCTCTCCCGGCTGGTGGTCACTGCCTCCCGGGAGCCCGCTAGCAGCTCCTTAAGGAAGCCCTTCACGTGCCGCCTGAGCACCGGGCGTCACCGCCCTCCGTCACCGCCCTCGAAAGTTCAGGTCCGCTGGGCGCCTGGGAACCCAGCTCTGAGGGCGCGCAGGGAGAGCAGCGATGATGCCCCAGCGCCGCCTGCTGGGGAGGCAGGGGGTCCCTCAGGCATGGCAGCAAACAGTTCCAGGGTTCCCCCGACCCCCTCAGCAGGCCACCCCGCCCTCCACACCTCCCACGCGCCCACTCCTGTTCATGTCTGCGTCCTGTTCTCCAGAGGCGAGGGCTGGCCATTTTTAGCTTTTCCTCCTGCCGTTTGCACCAACAGATTTAAACATCACACCATATTACATTGCTATTCAGAGATTTTAAACGACCTGAACTGCATCCTTTATTGGCCACATCATCTTGTAAGGCTCCTGTCTCAATTTCGCACCTAGAAAGATGTAATAATTTAGATGTATCTGATATGATGAGGGATTAAATGTCTTTTTCAAAAGAAAACACATTTTAATTTTATTTATTTACTAGTGGCCCAGAGTTTCATACACATTAAACGTGAGTTAATTAGAGGAACTCTTTTCATATTGCTATTTGCCCTTTCTCTGTAATAGAAGTGTCAGAGATGAAAGAAAATTAGTAAAATGTATATGAAGATCTTCCTCCTGTCAGAGTCTGGGGCACACAGCGGGGCCCAGAGTCAAGTCCCCGCCCACCTGCTCACGCCTCAAAATCATGCAGGATCCAGACCCGGCTGGTCCCACCCCCGTCAAGCCCCGCCTCGGGTCCCTGCTGATTGCTCATTAGAGTTTGTTACAGGAACCCCGCTTCTGCTGTGGGCGCAGCCATCTTGTGATGGTGTGAGGGTTAATTTGCATGTTACCTCTTTACTATATAGGATTTTAAAATATATTTTTATTGATTTCAGAGAGGAAGAGAAAGAAACATCAGTGATGAGAGAGAATAATTGATCAAACCCAGGACCCTTCAGTCCCCAGGCCGACACTCTATCCCAGTGGTTCTCAACCTTCTGGCCCTTTAAATACAGTTCCTCATGTTGTGACCGCACCATAACATTATTTTCGTTGCTACTTCATAACTGTAATGTTGCTACTGTTATGAATCGTCATGTAAATATCTGATATGCAGGATGGTCTTAGGTGACCCCTGTGAAAGGGTTGTTCGACCGCCAAAGGGGTCACGACCCACAGGTTGAGAACCGCTGCTCTATCCACTGAGCCAAACCGGTTAGGGCACAAAACAAATTTTAAAATTCTAATGAACTTTCTTGCCAGTACCTGTCACTTTTAGCAGCAATCATTAAATAAAATGAAAAGGGAAGTCTCATAGTAAATTGCACGAACCCGAGAGAGAACATTCATGCTTGTTGCCCATTTGTTCAGAATGTAATTTATCTAAATTGGCTCCGAGGTTTTAAAGCCCACTGCATTGAAACTGACAGCACGTTGCAGCTAGCTCTGCTGTGTCGTAGGAGCGCTCCCGTGGAGAGCCTGTGCCGCGGTGACGGCCGCCTGGGACCTGGGACTGGGATTCAGCACTCGGCACCACGGCTGCCGTGCAGGACCCACCCTCAAACAGGTTCCACCTGAGTGAAGGTCACATTTTTTCTTTTCTGTTTTGCAAGGAAAAATACTAGCACAGCCTGATACTCATTCTGTCTGCTCTGTGGTGGGACACACCTGTGGTGAAACTGCTGGCTTCTTCCTCCCCATCTTCCTCTCCTCCTCCCTCGCTCTCCTAATGTTCCTCCTCCTCTTCCTCCTTTTTCTTAAAGATTTTATTGTGGTAACATATGTGTAACATTTGCATGTGCCCTTGCCGGTGGCTCAGTTGGTTGGAGCGTCATCCCATACATGGGAAGGTGGGCGGTTTGGTTCCAGGTCAGGGCACAGACCCAGGTTGTAGGTTCCATACATGCTGGGGTTCCTGCAGGAGGCAACTAACTGATGTTTCCCTCACACATCAATGTTTCTTTCCCTCTCTCTCTCTCTCTCTCTCCACCCCCTCCTCTCGCTTCCGCTCTCTAAAATCAATAAAAAAATGTGTAACATACATTTTAGCTTTTTAACCACTCTGAAGTGTATAATCCAGCAGCATCAGCCAGGCACCCGGTGCTGCACCACGTCTGGAGAGTTCCTCCCGAGCCTCCCAGAGCACACGCTCAGGCTGACTCAGCATGGCCCTGTCCCTGTGCTTCAATGAGGAGAGTGTGCTGCTCAGTGGGTGGCACCGGGGGCACAGCTGGGCGGTGCACAGGGCCCTCCCTGACGGCTCTGCAGCCAGGAGCCAGGCAGATGAGCGAGGGACTGGAGCAACTGTTCTTCCCACTGGTTGGATAATTCTTAATTTCATTCCAAACATCTTTTTTTTTTTCTGAATAGAGTGCTGGCTGGTCAACCCTGTACCTTGTAGCAGTGCTGGGAGATGTCCCAGTGTCAGAAATAAGCTGAGCCCCCAAGTCAGCGGTCCTGGCAGAACACGAAGCATAAGCACACCCGGGAGCCAGGCCACAGGCGGACATCTTCACTTATACGCAGAAGGGGGCGCACATAGTCTGGAAGCGCACGCAAGAGCAGGGGGGGCTTATAACCCCTGGCCCACGTGACCTGTCCTTTGCTCTTTATTGGAGCTCAGGTGCACAGTCTTTCGTGATTGGCTAATTCAGAGGGCGGGATTAGCCTTTGCTGTCTCACTTCTGGTCGATGGCGATGAACTGGAAACTCACAATGGCCTCGTGTCAGGAGGCCTTCTAACCTGAGAGAGATTAAAGGAGGGCGGGATTAGCCTTTGCTGTCTCAAGATGGCGGCCCCCAGGGGAGCTGCACCCCATGCGGCTAACATGGCGGCTGCCAAGTCACACAGCCCCAAATGGCGGCTGTCTAAGCTGGTCTT